AATCATTTAATAATAGATTAGCTTTTGAAGTAAAAAGCAGCAGAATGAAATAATAAATTGCATTCCTTAATTTCCAGCTACAAAGTGTATCTCACCATAAAATGTTCGCCGTGCTTGTTGGTGAGCATGTGAGCGGCTTGGGCCTCAGCATGTGCGTCTCTGTGTGGTAAGTGCAGCGCCAGCATGCGCTCCGCCACGTAGCACAGGTCCAGTCGCCCTGCGCCGCCTGCGCCTCCAGCGCCTCCCGGATAACTCGCCGACCGAGTCCCGCCCTGCGGCCAACAAGACAATGGAGAATTTAACATATGTTTTTGTAAGAGTTTTTCTAGATAAATAAGAAGACATAGTTAAAACAGTCATTTTGTTGTAACATGTAAGCAAAAAGTGTGATATTTTGAGTAATTTTGATACATCGGAAAAGTCTTATTATACGAAATATAGTGACATTATTCTAAATAAGTTGTTATAAAGTCTGCATATACAATCCACTAGAACGGGTTTTGCAAACGACTCGTATTATTATTCGCTTTGCAATCCAGTCTAACAATGATTTTATCAGCACAACGTAACGCACGATTATTGTTGAAACGTGCGTAGGTAAAGAACATGCCTAAAGTTGAAGAGTAAATAGAGAAAATACGAGATTTGCTTTAGTATGTTTGTGTCAGATCAAACACATAATATTGTAGGCGGTTCGACAAGACGGTGACGCCGTGAGAGTGACACCGTAGTGTGGGTGGTAGAAAACGCATTACAATGCTTCGAATTTACTGAAGATAAGATCAGTCGAACTGTGTCACTAATCGAGTTCCGATACCTATCACAAACACTACGAACTTTGAAGGGTTAAAAGACTGTAAATCAAGAAATACTGTATACTGTCCGATTTAAACACAATTTAATTTACGTTACATTAATAAGAGCCATAACAATTATATTATATTATATCTATTAATTAGAACTACTTTTTAACATGTTATTTTTGCAATACGCAAAGTGCATTATTAAAATGTGGAAATCGAATTTCAATGTATCAACGATAAAAAAAGAGAAAATCCTTATAATAAAATGTACCTAACGTAGTTTAAGCATTCACAACCATTAATAAACTTTTGAATTATTACATTTACTGCAAATATACTGGCGCAAGCGCCGTTTGTCTTGTTTCAAAACATAATAATGCTCCAATGTGATAAACAGCTCTCGAACACTTCGTTACATCGAAATGTTTATCATATTTGAAATAGCCTTGAAAGCATTTACATATAAAAGAACCGCATAAATCTTTGCAAACAAGTCTTATGATATTACATTTGATAAACATAAGAATTTGTACGTCTCGTACTAAATGGTCTCGAAGGTCGAGTTGTTTAATACAAATTAAATTATTACTAGGGTTTCATAACTTTACAGCGATTTAAGACATAACATATCTAGGATGCAGCATTCTATGCAGAAACTGCGTAACTTACATGGTCTCTGGAGAGTGCGGGAGTCCCCGGAGTGACAGGCGCGCTCACTGCTCGAGTCTGTAATAATTAAACGTTTAGATTTAAAATTTTAGTTTTATCAGTGATCAATGATATAAAAAATACTAGGGTATTTAACAAAAAAAAGGCTTAATATTTGACCCTACATAAACCTTTTCACAGACTACGCTTGCCTTTATTATTGTTGAAGGAATTCTTTGCACGCTTGCTTTACATAATGTGTAAGTCGTGTCATTCAAATAATATGGAAGAATGAGAAGTGATTGCAACATTCATGATTGTTGCATTGTAGACGCGGCACGGCGTATTGAAACGCGAATCCCAAGGTCGGGGGCAACGCGATGTTCAAATGAAATCAAGAGTTCACTCTTTTTGTTACCCAAAATCAATATCTCGCTTGACAAGTAACAAGAAGTTGCCTAACATTATAAATCATGATAAGTAATAAAATATTTATTATTCCAACACAAGCTAAATATCAAGGAGATGTGTCACTTTAAAATTTTGCCAAAATCTAAAATCATAGATCGAATTTATCAATACACATACTAAAAAAAATCTTAGACCAGAGATGCATGACCGCTAGCCTTATCAAAAAGTGCAATTGTTGGTTGAAGCCGCTAGCAATATTATAGTATTCTTTTTAATTGAATTATTTCAAGAACTAATTTTTATAAGTGAAACTTTAATGAAAACATTTAACAATTTGTAGCTATAGGATGCTTTTAAGTCACCGTCGATATAAAGTACCGGTTGCTGTATCGCGATCGGATGTTGGGATAAAGCTCAATAAGGTTGATAAATGAGCCCTTAAGCGGGGCGCGGCCTAAGTGATTACTGCAGGTTTCGCGGCGACGTTAGTTGGGCCTATCTTATGTTATTAGGCCCATATTAATTTACATTTGATCTGTAGTAAATCGAACAGGGAAAGTCAAAGCCAATAAAATAGCACGCATGTATCCAAGAATTAATATTTATGCATTCTATAATCATTACTCACAATATCAGCACGTAAAAATTAAAATACGCAGCTTTTCATTGGTTGAAGTGCGCATTATCTGATCACTGTAATACGTATATCTAAATGTAAATGCAAATACGTTCGCTGAGCGTACAAAGCACTGTAATCGTCTGAAATTGGCATAATCCAATTACAGCACAATCAGACGACGTCGGCCGCGGAGTGCGGCCGCCCCGCGTTGCCCGCGCTCTGCACACCAACCTCGCACAGACGCACTCGTGTTATTTTTATACCTCGCACTAATCACCGCCCCCTGGTTTACACACTCCGATTACTTCGTAAACAGGAACCGCCGATTTATTTCCAATCGACCGCTGCACGCGTTTAGAAATTGTTTATCTTGCGTTTGGTCTGTTAATAATCTCTGCACCGCACGCTGAACATTATTAATTAGATGATGAAACTGTTCATTTTATGCTTAGCTTTGTTGTTTTCAGTTATAACCAATTTGTTAAAGTAGCAATTGGTCGCGAGAGACTAAATGTAATATGAGTCTACCAAAACTAAGATACCTATTAGTTGCATAAATTACTGGACATTAGCGTTAACATCGATTTTTTTGACACATATTTCCTGTACTGATGTTATTATGCATAGTACTACTAAATGTATAGACTTTAACTACAATGATAACACAACAGAAATTCACAATATTATATGCTATTTAGTTCATTTAATCTTATTATTCAGTAGACAAACCGTATATATCCTTTGTGGTACAATAATATCGCGCATCCTTCCGCGTTGCAAGTAGAAAGCAGCACGCCACAGAGCGAAGGCGAGGCGATGGAGCGCGCGCGCAGCCTCCTCGCCGCAGCCGCGTGTACCCCGCGACCGCATCTTCCTCACTCAAACTTAACGTTCTCAATATTGTCCTTAAGCTTTTTCTAACTTTGCCACCGAACCGTCGCGATTTCAAAGTTTCGATTTCAAATATCATTATTTACTGCTTGATGTTAGCAATTATTTATTACTGTTAAAAAGTTACATAATTCTCCTTCAATTGTATAAATTTTACATAGTACTTTCGTAGTACATTTATGTTAAAATTTATTTGTAACAGTTGTAAGTAGATGAGATTCTTCTTTTCACACTACCATATTTAGATGTTCACATATTTGAATGAAAATAAAAACGGTTTTGATGAACATGGTGTAGTCGTTATTAACATTCTGTAAGTCAAAAAACGAGAGTTGTAAGTGCAAAAGGCGTCTGCATTTGAAGTGTTAGTGGCTAAGGCACATGGAGTGTCCGGGCCTGGCAGGCATGCGCCCCGCACTGCGGCACCCGCCCACCCAACGCACACTGATCCTTGCACACACTCGTATAAAATCGGACTAGAACTCTAGACACAATATTCTATTATCAGAACTGATCACTAAATTACATCAATAATTTTCGTACTATACTTGTAAGTACACGAGTAATCTCAAATAGATAAACCGTGAAAGCGTTTTTATTCCTGAGACTACAAGGTCATTGACAATGATTTACCAAAAGTGATGAGGACTAGCTCTAGATTTCAAATTGTAAACTAATACAGGGATAAACAGACAGTTTAAATTCACCGTATTTCTT